TGGATTCAAAAATCGGTATTCATTCTACCACAATGAAAGAAAATTAATCTTGACTCCATTATCTCATAGCCGAGTGAATGAAGACTAAACTCAACTGAAGAAAAACATTGAAGAACATCGTGAGAAAAACAAGACATTTGGAGTTGAAAATGAGAGTGTGATTTTTCGTGAAAAAGCCATTAGAGTTATTGAAGATGAGAGTAACAACATTGAGAGTGAAGATGAGTGTGTTGAAAAACATGAGCATGAGAGAAAAGAATGTGAGGAGAATGAAGTTTTGCTTTATACTAATCAATTTTTTTCTTCTATTCATTCTTTGAATTTGCAGGTTATTCCAAGGGACATTTAAGATGATTCAAGCATCATTTCTTTTGAAATTCCAAAAGATGTGTCACTTGAAATTATAAAGAACATGTTCATTAACCTTCAAAGTACATTCACCTCATATTCAAGATCGAATGAACCTTATAAAAGGGAAGATTCAATGAACCTAACCATGGAGAACATTAAGAGTCCAAACTCATTCATTCATGAATTTAATCATTTCCTTTCCTTTGATTCTAAATTATCTACTTCTAACTTTGTTCTATTTTTCAGATTGTTGATTCAAAAGCAAAGACTTGAAAATGTGAAGCATTTTGAGCAAAGAAAATGATGCAAGATGAGAATGAAAGAATTTTCATTCAAACGAAGATCAAAGTTGTTCCCTTATGTACCAAGCATCGATTTGGGGACAAATCGCCTTAAAGAAGAGCGCGATGATGTGATCCTACCGACCACCAAGTTCAAACAAAACATGCTCTCAACTTTGAAGTTCTTCCAAGATGATTCTAAGGGAGTTCTTCCATATTTTATTACTTATTTACTCATTTATGCTTTATATGTGTTATAAGCATGCTTTGACATTCTAAACTATGCTTGAATATTCATATATTGTCCTATGTTTGCATCCTATATGATATTCATGCATGTCACATCTTTAATTAGCTTGTTTCATGCATATGTTACACATTCCTTACTTATGTTATCATATAAATTGCATTATTATATTATCCATGGCATCATGTGTTACATTAGAATGTTACTTATTACTTATTCATTACATTGAGCATTATAACTTATATACATTTTGTATTTAGTACAAGGTACATTCAAGGCAATCCAATGGACAAATTCACGTCACTCATAGAGATTTCCATTTTTGAACATGTTCATAGCATCTTTGGTGATGAAGTCTTCTTAACATTTAATCCCCTATCTCTTATCTTTCCAACTCACTTTGAATCGTATCAATCTGATATTGGAAGGTCAAGATACACCCAGATTAATTAAGACAGTGCAGGCTGGAAATAAGTACGGGATTTACAACCAAATGAAGAGCCATGTTCACACCTGATGCATTTCCACCTTCATGAATCCATTTATGGCGTGTAAAATCATACAAGGAGGCTAAAGGACTTGTTCAACATTCAAGGGAGATGGATGCATTATTTTCAAACTCATTCACCAAATCCAAGTGCATGAAGGGAGCCTATGAGTCACGTTCACACTTGGTGCAAGCATTCCAAAGGGGCCCGAACATACAATGAAACATTCCTCCAAATTCATGCAAGGAAATGAACCAACATGTTCACATCAAGAGATGGATGAATTTGGCTATGAAGATGTATTCACTGTAATGGATGAACATTCATTTATTTTATTAGTTCATGAACTTGCATAGGGGCCGTACATTGTATCTACTTAAGGATGAACATTCATCTATGAAGGTTCACTCATTAAATGTTTTGTATTCACACCATGCACTCTTAGGCCTATAAATAGTTTTCCATTTCATTTATAAAAACCAATTCACTTTGTTTAATCAAATATTTGTGAGAGTTTCTCTCTTTAGTTCTTAAGTGAACTTTATCGACTTATTAAGCTTATGCTTGTGGCGTCACCCCTATCTATGTCACCCTTATACTTCTGGTTCCTATCTCTTTATAGATAGTGGGTCAAAGTCCTTGTTTACCTCCCTTAAAGAAGCAATATAAAGTCTGGGTCTTTATTCTTTAACATTGGCTCTTCTTTGAGTCTTCTTTGAGATACTACTTTTCATATTCATCTCCATCACCTTCATTCTAATTCCATTATCATACTTCATCATTTCCTTTAAACATATCACCCACTTATGTATATTTTCCGCTGCCATATTTATCTTTCCATTTCATTACTTCCATTTAACTATTTTTTTGAGCTTTCTTGTTTGTGCAGGATCCTTGTTGCTTTCCTAGATCGAAACAATCAAAGGTACAACCTTAACTTCACCATCCATCCAAGTGAGGCTAGGTGGAACTGTATCAACCATATAATGGGAGTTGATCCTAATGATATAATCAATGAAGGATTGTATGAGAAACCCGAGCCTTATTCGATAACATCAATGCTTACACAACGAGAAGAGAGAGAAGAAGCTAGAGAATGGGCTACTAAAAGAGATGAAATTGCAGAAGCTATGTGGAGTGATTATATAAATAGAAATATGTAATTTATTAGTTGAATTTTTTTGAGTATTTGTATGTTACGTATGATGGATATTGTTGTTTTTAGTTTGTTGGAAATTGAACTTCCTATGTTTTAAGTTCGTATAACATTGAAGTTAAATTTTATGGACGTTGACAATTTTATTTTTAGGTTGTTGGTATTATAAATGTTATGTTTTATGTTTGTTGGACTATAAAATATATAATGTTATGTTTCCAGTTATGTTTGAAATTAATCATTATTACTGTAAGTTTTAAAATTTTGCATTTCATCGTCTAATTGCTTTCTATTTATATGATTATTAGCAATGAGCACATCAAAAAATTTTAGGTGGACAAAACCAATGGAACGTCATTTCCTCGAAATACTTGCAGAGGAGGCGCAAAAAGGTAATAAGCCATCTAATACATTCAAATCAGTTTCTATAAAACGAGTTGCAACAACTATTTCCAAAAAAAATTGGTGTCCAATGTGACGCTAAACACGTGGAAACCCATTTGAGGACTGTCAAAAATACATGGAAAACTATATGTATAATTCGTGAAGAAAGTGGATTAGGATGGGACGACAACATGAAAATGATAACCTATGACGGCGTGACATATGGCACTATAGTGACGGTAATTTCTATATACTATTTTTACTTGAAAGTTAAATTTTACTTGTTATTCTAATTGTGTATAATATTTAATAGAACACCCGAAATATGGTCAATTTTTTAACAAAAAAATTGATTCTTATGATGAGATGACTCTTGTTGTCGGTCAACATTTGGCAACATGGAGTTTTGCTAAAACTTTTGCCGATATAGACTTGGATGATGTTAATGCAGGATCAATGCTATTAAATTTCGACACTCAGCATGTCGATAAGGAAAGAACAAACATATCTTCATCTGGTACATCAAAACATAAAAGGAAGAATGTCCAAGAAAAGTCGAGGATGATCATATTCAGTTTGTAGGTGAGAAACTTGGTGAGATTGCTGAAGCACTAAAAATATTTATCAAGGATAGGACATCATATCTTTACGAAGAAGTTATGTCAATGGAGAAAGAAAGATTTGATGATGACTTTCTTTGTGAGGTATTCGATTTTCTAGCCAAGAATGAGCTTGAGGCCAAAGCTTTCTTGGCTAAAAAAACTAAGCATAATAAAATTTTCCTTCAGAAGTTTACCCAAGGTTAAGATATGAACTTTAAATGTGGTGTAATATTATTTATGGCTTAGACAATATTTTAGCTCTAATGTGTTGGATTGATGTGTTGTAGCACTAATTATGAATTAGACTATGTATTATTACGATTGATATTATTGTTGTTTTAATGTCATAAACCCTTTAATTATATATTTTGATAATATTATTATTAGTACAATGTTATGTACTATTGTTGTTTTAATTTGGTATACTATTAATTAAACATTCTTAAGATTTATAAACTTTTATAATATATTTTTAATCAATTATTAATATTTTCTAAAATAGGTATTTTTATAAAATATAATTATATATATAAAAAATGAACCTTTAAAAAATAATAAATAATAAAACATATTCAATATGTACAGCTTCATTAAAAACAGATTCTGAAAGTAGTTTTTAGGAAAATTACCTAAACAGTGTAAAACATTTTACAATGTACCATCCAAACATTGGAAAATGTTTTCTGGAAAATGTTTTCTGAAAAATGATTTATATTTATGTAAAATATTTTCCAGATTTCATTTTCCGTAAATTGTTTTAAGTGAAACAAATAAACCCTAAAGTCGAATGATAAAACAATCACAATTATCGTTTCGATTCAATTAAATTTTGCGATTCTTAATTATTCACATTTTTCAAATTCAACCTCCAAAATATAAATTTAATTTTCATTTCAATTCAATTGATTTTGCAATTCTTGACTATTAACTATTTTTCAAATTCAACCTCTAAAATACAAATTTAAAGCTTAAATACAGTGTAAATATATAAATTTATATTTAAAAAATAGTATTAGTTTTAGTATTTTATTTATTTAAATTTATCTTATAATAAATTATATTTAAATTTTAAAAAAATTTAAAATAAATTTATTTTGATACTTATTTTTTTTTCAATTCAATTTAATTTCAAACGAGTTCTATAAAAAATAAAAACGAAATATTATATATTTATTTTTTAAAACCAAACCGTAATTAAAAATCCCAAACCGAACCGAATTGTCTATTATTCAAATTGATTTTTCGATTTTCTGAATTTGTTGCTCAACCCTACACTCAATGTTCTGTTTTAAATCGGTGTTGTGACGACAAAATTTCCACAATGAAACAGACATTAACATAGGGTTTGTGGCATAAATGACGGAATTACAACATAAACCAACGAGGTTTTATTTGATTATTTTCTTGCTCATTTGGCATGTGATTCCCTCGCCTGCTTCGTACAAGGATCCTTTGGTTGGTCATAAGAAATAATGAACTAAGAGTCTGAAATGGACCATGACCATGTTACAGAGCACCTTAATTACTGCATCAGTGTTTAAGAATAAAGGCACTGCTCGTTCGGCTATAAAGAAATTCTACAAGTTCTAGCATTCATTCGTCCCCCCCCCCGGGGGGATTTGGGGTTTGGATCCAAGTTAAGACAGCATGAAAACCGTCTCGGTTACACTCTTCAAGTCATACAATCTTCTAACAATATTCAGACGTAAAACTAAAATTCTCACCAAGAATGTTTCAGCTACTAAAACCACCACCACTCGAGCCCCCAAAATTTCTCCAATCACCTCTTCCTGTGACTCTTCTCTCAGGTTTCACGTCTCCTTCGGCGGGGAGCAGCGGCGGATTCATCTTTCTCTTCCTCTTCATCTTCAGCCTTTTCTCCGCCGGTGGTTTGATTGTTTGATGCCTCGGCAACATCAGGTTTCTTCTCGACTCTTGGCTGCAAGGTGATAAATTAATGGAGTGAGACAACGAGCAAAGGAATAATGAAATACCATAGTATAGACCGACAAGGTTTACTTCAAAAATCTTACTTGCTTCTTGCCACCAAAACTAAGCTTGAAGAAAACTGTGAGGACGATCACCGCGATAGAGACTATGACACCAATGGTGATATTTGGTTGCTTCTCAGCCTTCTCAATGAGATCCTAAAAGAGAGAACATGATTTCGGATGAAACTCGGTCAGGGATATTAATTTGTATGAGAGTGCATCGTTAAGACAACTTACAAGGATTCGAAGCTTGTATTCACTTAAGAAAGGAATATCAGCAACCTTGTATAGGACATCAAATACCTTCTTCTGCAGAAAAGAAATGACCAACTTTAAGTTGATATGAATCAAATTTATAATACGACCAACAATGAAAAAAAAAACCTTGCCTATGCATTACCTGGAAGCCAGAAAGCTCATCCGAATCAGTGGTTTTTTCCTCGGCCTTTTGTTTTTCCTTCTCAACCTCAAACTTGGGTTTCCATGTGGTCTCCCTATATGACTCGGCAACCTTTTCGTTTTTGGCTATCAGAATATTGTCAAACAATATGCCATCTTGCATTGTCCAGATCTCAATACCAACAGCAGCGATAGGCTCAAAGTCAGGCTTGTCGAGCTCAAAGTAGTTGGGGTTTGGAATCTCCTGAGGCTTCCAGATACCCTTGTAATTGGGGTTATCAATGAGAGGAGCAGACCATTTTCCCTTGTAAGCTGGATTTGGCTTCATCGGCCTCTTCCATTCACCACAGCCGAGGGCTGCCTCACACTTTGGGTTATCAATTTTGGGGGCTTCCCACTCACCATCCTCATCATCATCCCAATCTTCCGGCTTGGTTGCCTCGGGATCATCTATCTCCTCAGGCTCATCATCTAACCATCCTTCCGGTTTCACAGCATCTTCATCTTCAATTTCCATGGGCGCATCCTCATCCCAATCTTCTGGCTTTACAGCATTTGGATCAGGAATTTTGGCTCTTTCGTCCCAGTCCTCGGGTTTCTTATCATCTGGGTCAGGAATCATCTTAGCAGGGATAAGTGGGGGCTCAAAATCATCAGCCGAGAGAAAGTTTGCCTTCTTTTTCTCCTCGCCATCAATCAGAATCTTAACCACATTGTCAGGCTTCAAGATGGCAGTGTAGACATGGGTAAGCTTGTCAGATGGGACAGAGGGTGGATATTTAAGATGATGTTCAATGTATTCCCCACTTTTCGGATTCTTATGCTTCAAAATGAAGTGCACCTTGTTTGTGCCCCCACATTTGTCAGGTCCAAACATGATAGAGTAAGGGGATTCATTGTCAAACTCCTTAGGCTTCCATCCAGCTTCCTGAGGACGAAGGTATTTCAAATATGCACCACCGCATTCGAGTCCATTCTGGAGGCGCGTCTCAAACTGAAGCACAGTGCTTCCATCCTTGAGACTCACGGGCTTGTCGAGCTCCTTCACTATGGCATACTTCCGCGCCTTCTCGCTCACAAGAAGCCCGTAGTCATCATGCCCTTCACTCTTTGAATGCTTGCACACACCTGCAAAAATTCCTATTAATCTATACACCCTTCAACTCCTAAAACCTCAAATTGCAAAAAATAAAAATAGCATAAATACTAAAGTAGAAAAAACTTAAGCTACACTGCATCCAAGTGCACAATGAGGTTACATTAATCGGAAAACAAAAACACAAAATAAAACTCTTAAACAAATTTTAGATGCCAATGCCATAGAAAAGTAAGATAATTAAATTTTGTAAGCAACGCAATGAGCTAAAAGGTCATTATCTAACAATAACATAAGCCGAGGATCAAAGAAGTGGCGGATTCAATAAGAATAAACATCATTTAATATCTTATGACGATTCAAACTTTCCCAAAGATCAAGCTTCTATCCGTATTTTCTTATTCAATTTCGTATATATTTTAAAATCTTTTCACTTCTTGACTACTTCCACTTGAACTCAAAATGTCAAATTAGCTCAAATAAGCTCCACAGACAACCCAACACTTAGAAAAATCTCAGAACAACACAGAGAAAACATAGCTATAAAAAGTACTCAACAAAAGAGATCTATAAACAGAACAGAAAATTATTTTTTCAAAAAATAAAACTCACCTGTATAATCATCTTTAACAGATACGATCCATCGCCCGTCAAAAGGCTCATCGAATGATTCATAAAAGACCTAAAACAAACCAAATCACTTCAAATTCCACAGATTCAAACATTCTTAACAAAATAGAGGGTTTTAAAGATATAACCAAAATTACCGTATCATCAGCGGCAGCAAAACAGAGGAGCTGCAATGACGCGAACACCAGGAGAAGGAGAAGAGCGAAACGCCCCATTAACTTCAATCCAAGAACCCTAACTCTAATGATTGAAGATATTTTCCTTTTTCTTGAATCTGGATCTAAATAGGAAGCTGTGACTGTTTGTTTTAATTTTATAGATCTTGGTGACTCTGGCGTCGACTTGTTTTGCCCAATGAAATTACACGCCACGTAAATTTAGCCAATGGTTTTCTGCCACGTCAACAATTAACACCAACTCGCTTATGTGCAGTAGATATTAGTAGTATATGTTATTTTTAGGGTCCCTCGATAATAGGGAGAGGCCCAATTTTAGACTTTACGAGTATTATTTTTTTTAGTTATTTTAATTTATGAGTATTATTTTTTATGATTTAAAATTTATTTTTAAAAGAATTGAATTAATTTAAATTTATAAAATTTGAGTTGAGTCAAGTTATTTAAATTTATGTTTCAATTTAATTTTACATATATATATATAACGTTACCATACTATTTGATATTAATTTAAATATTTTTTTATAATTGTAGACGCTTTATTTCGACCTTATATTATATAATAATATATTTATTTATTTTATTTTACAGGCCCAAGGAACTACAAAGCCCAACAGAAGATTCTGGTCCAACCCAGATCCAAAACACGTAACCGATTAGGGGTCCCCAGAACCCTAACTCATCCATCTCTGGCCTCAACCGCCAGCAGTGATGGCCGTTGGATCTAGATGAGATCCAACGGTCCACAGTAGACCCTATTTAGGGTTTTATCTTTTTGGAACCCTAACTCCATCACACCAGCGCCGCAACCCTCATATGTGAGGACTCTACAACCTGTCGTTTTTGGTCAGTCCCGAATACTCCGGCGCAAGGGAAGCACATGCAACATCCATCACCAACAACCATCACCGAGTTAGAGTCATGATGGGAATGAAATACTTAGAATTCTAGGCTATAAATAAATGTAATCAAACCCATTTGAGGGGGGATTTTCATACGAAATAAAAGCAGAAATTTCGAGCAAAATTAGAGGCAATATCAGAGTAAAAGTCGAAACTTTTTAAGTTTTTGAGAAGAACAAAAGGTAAAGTCCATACCTTGCGTCGTTTTGGTTGCTTGCATGTCATTGTTGTTGGTTTTTTTGAACCCCAAAAAGCATTTTCCGGCCGATGAACGAAGTGAGACCATTCTTTCCGAGGCTATTTTCTAGATCTACGCTTTTTCGAGAGGTTTTTTGAAAAACCACTTTGCTTTTAGGGTTGTGGAAAGAAAGGGTTTTTTTTATAACTTTCGATGTGGACTACCGTCGATGAGCGGCGGCGAGGCGGTGGCCACCGGCCGGAATCTGGAAACCAGGCGTCGTTGTTCATCCTTGGATGAACAAGTTGAGAGCATTTTCTAGGGATAGGGGGAGGCATTCGTTTGAAATGAAGGAAAATGAGAGGTTTTTTGTTTAAGAGTGGTATCTATAGTATCCACATAGCCGATCCACGACCCGATTCGAAACCATGTGACTTGCGTGTTTCTGTGTAGAAGGGGGTAAACCCGCTTTTGGTCCCTCCGATTTTAAAAGTCTGTTATTTTGATCCCAAATCCGGTTCTCAAACTCCAATGTTATTCTAATTCGACCACTCAATTCGTTTTTATTTTCAATTTGGTCCCTGTTAAATTCAATTCGTATTTTTTAAATCTTTTTTTTATATATTACTTTTATTATATATATATATATATTATTATTATTATATGTATATATATATATATTTACTTATTTCTTTTATACTCTTTTACCATTTTTATTTTATTATTATTATTCTTTATATTATCCTTATTATTTCTATTATTACTATTTTTTTACTTATTTATGTATATATATATATATATACGTTTTTTAATTTTCTTTATTCGTTTTCTTTATTTATTATTATATATATATATTATTTTTTTATTTTAGGTATTTTATTTATATATATATTTTACTTATTATTTTTGTTTTAACTAATAGTATATATATATATATATATTTACATGTTTTATTAAACACTCTATTATATATACATCACCTCACATTTATTAACTAGGGTCCACCTTCTCTCTTTTTTCCTTCCTTCCCGTTATTCATGCTTCACCAAACTTAGACTTCTTTTTTTTCGGTGGGATTATTTTCAATCTTTTTTTACTATTTATTACTATTATCATTATTATTTTTACCTAATAACTATATATTAGTATTCTTTTCATATTTTATTATGTTATTACTATTTTTATTTTACTTAATATTTGTATTTTCATTTTTCATTTTCATTTGGTTTTTCTAATTTGTTTATTATCTTATTTTATTTTATTTTATTTTGTTTGTTTTATCTTTTTTTTTTACTTTTTTTAAGTCATTTATTTACCATTTCTTTCTTCTGTTTTATTTGGGTTTGTTTATTTTATTCATTTATTCATTTCCTTTTCATCTAACATTTTTTTATTTTTTTAAGGGCACGATTTAAATTCATCAGAGGTAAATAATTTGGGATCATATGTTACCTTTAAAGTTTAACTTTCAATTTTCTTAATTAAAGACAACTGGAAATTACGTAGTACCGAAAGGGCAGTTCAAGGGTGCTAATCCTTCTTTGACCGTAACCGACTCCCGAGCCCGACATATTTCTGGTAAGACGCAGATTAGGTAAGAAATAGGGTATCCGATCAACCTGTTTATTCTTAAATAAATGATCGGTGGCGACTCCAATCCATATTTTTCAAGTCGAAGCCGAATTCCGAGGCCCAACCGAAAGACGGTTCCGACAGCTTGGCGACTCCGCTGGGGACTTGGTAAGTGAGTCAGGCTAAGGTAATTTCCAGTTGTCTTTTTAATGAAAAGGGTAAGTTTGAACTTTAAGGTAACATTTCGACCTTTATTACTTACTTTTGGTTATATTTTTTCGAGTAAATAGTTGGACTGACCATTTTCTAATGATTTCAGCCTTCCAAACTTTTTCATCCAAAGGCTCTATACCCGAGCTCCAAACCCTTTTAGTGGGGGTGAAAGCGACGTATTCGTGTGAATTTATTCACCGCATATGCCTAGTAAGTAGCCTTCGGGATTCATATACCTTATGTCTTCGTGTGAATTTATTCTCCGCATAGACATAAGGGAATGTGTCCCCTCGAGTTTAACTTAGTCCATACAAGCCTGTGATGGGTTTAGGACTAAGGGTCTGGTAAGCCCAAGGGGGCACCAACAAGGAGAACTCGGGTACCGTTTTTTAGAACCTAAACCAGGAGACTTCGAAGAAATAGAGCCTACCCCAAAACCACATTCCAAAACCTAGGACAGTTCTTTCCTGACCATTTGTTTTTCCTTATGTTTTTTCTTGCCATTTATTTCTTGTTATTTTTATTTATTTCCATTTATTTTTATTTTACTAACTATTTGCCTTTGTGTTTGTTTTTTTAGCATTTGCATCATAACAAGAGGTCATTGATCCCTAAAAGGTGTTTGTTACACAAAATAATCTGAATTAATGGATAAAGGTATTGTAATACAAGAGATTAAAAACCCTGAGGTACGACTATGGTCCGAGAAGACTCAGAAAGAAAAGGGAGACAGTCTTCAAGACAGCTATATGTCAGAGCTGATTAGCTACGCCTCGATCAGCCTAAAGCAGAATGACGTGCAAGAGCTTCGGGACATCTGGGACAGTTGGAAGAATGAGGTGAAACAAAAGTTCAGCCAACGGTACGATGATGTTGCACTTTTGCTTCATGTTAAGATGGATGAGCCCCTAATCAGAGCCTTGGTTCAATTCTGGAACCCGGGATACAATTGCTTCACCTTTAACCGGGAAGACATGGTGCCCACCATAGAAGAGTACACTACACTGCTGCATTGTGAAAACATCAAACTCGAGCGGGCCTACCTTAAGCACATTAAAAGCCAACCTTTCAAAAATGCACTAGCCAAGGTTGCCGGAGTTGATGAAAAATGGGTAACTGACCGAGCCCGATGTAAGGGTAGTGGAGAAGGAATCGCTTGGCTTCATATCAAGCAACTAATGAAGCATCATCCCGATGAGTGGAAGACAATAGACATGTTTGCATTAGGTCTGTATGGTCTAATTATATTCCCAAAGACCTTGGGATACATCGATGTCGCCGTAGTGGAGCTATTCGAAGAGCTCTCGAGAAAAGTCAATCCAGCACCGACCATCTTAGCCGAGACCTTCCGATCTCTCAATTATTGCAGAAGAACTGGCGGAGGAAGGTTCATTGGGTGTGTTCAGCTCCTTCAAGTCTGGATTCACATCCACTTTTGGAAGACTAACGGGGTTGCCTACCGCCGTTTCAGCACCACATATTCACCTCTAGGTGAATTCATCACCATGAAATGGCATGAAGGCGCCTCAAAGGAAAAATGGATGAAGGTTTTTACGAATCTTCAGGACCGGGATATTGTCTGGAGAGCCCCTTGGTTATTCCTCAGTGACGTTCTTTTCCGATGTGGGGACTCCGACACTATGACCTTACTTGGACTTTGGGGTGCAGTTGGGTATGCTCCATTGTTAGCACTTAGACAGTATGGGGTACGTCAGTTTATCCCAGCGACATATGGACTAGCTAGGTCAGAGTTTGAGTATCACGGTGACAGCTATAAGAAGATGATCAAGGAAGTAGTTGATTCATGGAGGAAAGTATTCCAGATGGATGTTGTAGCTGCCAGAAGCATGCTTACTCCTGATTATGTGGAGTGGCGAAGGTTAAGGAAAAATGATAATATTCCGGTACCAGACTATGAAGACACCCGTACTATGGAGGAACATCTCAGGCATGTCCCTTCTGAACTCGTGGTAGCCAAGACCGAGTTTGAAGCTGTGAATAATGAGCTAAAGCAGAGGATAAGGGAACTTGAAGCTGAACGTTATCAGTGGAAGCTTGATGCTGACTCTCAGAAAGATCAGGCAGATAAACTGGAAAAAGAGCAAAAGAGAGTCCGTTTTGAGCTCGAAGACTTGAGAAAGGGGTATCAAGATAAGGTCAAGGATAACTCCAAGTTGAAGGTAACCTCTGAATACTGGAAAGACGAAGCTCATAGCATGAAAAGGAAGTTCGAGGGGACTGATGAGAGAGC